CTCTCAAAAGTGTAGGTGAAGCTGGGTGTGGTGGTACACTCCTTTAACCTCAGCCCTTGGGAAGCAGAGGTAGAACTATTTCTGTGAGTTCAAGGCTAACCTGGTCTCCATAGCAAGCTCCAGGTCAGTGAGTGGTACATAGAGAAACCCTGACTCAACAAAACAAAACAAAGAAAAAGTAGGAGGAATAGGAGGAGAGTGGCACAGAAGGACATTTAACACCCTTTCCTGGCCTCTGCATATACAAGTGTACACTTGTGTGCTCAAGCATACACACACACACACACACACACACACACACGAGCATGTAAGTAAATAAACAAATAAATCTCTAAAATGTTTCTTGTAAAAGGAAGAAGACCAGAATCTCTGCCTGGAACGATGGAATATTCACATGGTAAACAAAGTACAAACATCAAAGGAGAGAGTCAGACTTAGAGGGGGAGTGGAGGAATGGCTCAGTGTTGAAGAGAAAATACTGCTTTTCCAGAGGATCCACATTCTGCTCCTAGCACCCTCCTCCATGGCTCTCAATCACCTGTAACTTTTCTCCTGAACGTATGTCTGTGCACCACGTGCATGCCAAGTGCCTGTAGAGGTATCAGAAGTAGGTTTCAGATGCCCTGGGACTGGAGTGTGGCACACTTCTGTGGTTTTCGTGGAACTCCCTGGGAAGAAAGAGCTGGCTGTGTTTTAACTTACTATGAAAACTCACTTGCTACGGACCTGGGTTCTGGCCTGGTACTAACCTGCCTCATCTGAAGGCTATGAGTAAGATGAAGAGGAACCTCAGCAACCCCTGCTCTTAAAAAGAGGATCCTTTTGTTGTTGTTAAATAAACAGTAAAAGGGAGAAAAGGAATCCTAACGCATGTGTTGGGTGTGGGGAAGAAACGAAACTCTCGTGTGTGCCATGTGGGCAAGAAGTTACGAGCAAGGAAGACAGAAGGGGCGAAAGACCAGACAGCAATACAGGAGAATGATCATCAGAAAGAAATCCCAAGTGATGGCCACACCAGAAGACATCAAAGACCGGCGATATCCAACTGCTGTTTCATTCTGGTTAGTAATGCCCCTTCCAACCATTCAGGGAAGTGAGATCTGTGCCCGTACATTGGCTGCTAGTGTTCTGAGAAAAGTAGAGTAGGATAGGATAGTGGAGGGAAGTGTGTCCTACCCCACGTTCACCCTACACAGGGACATAAAAAGAAACTCAATCTTACTGAGTGAGGTAAGCTGAGTTAGAAAGAAAAACTTAACCTGAGTTTTTGTCCCTCTCACCAACCTTTGCATGAAGTATGTCCATCTTTTAGGGACTTTTTCAAATTAGACAACACACAGAAAAACCACTGATGAGTAGTAGATTGTAAGAGAGGTTCAGAGGGGGAAAATCAACACTAATGTTTTCTCCAGGAGAAGAAAGTTACTAAATAAAAATCTCAGTGTCAGGAATGAGATCAGGGAGGTCCTATGGACATTAAGACAATCCAGGGAATGCTCTTGGCTGCCCACTCTAACTATATGGCAAGACCCTATTGCCAAAAATACTATAAAGTTTGGTTGTGGTACATAGAGAAATCAACAAGGAGCTAACCTAGAAACTTCCTTCCTGCTGGGTACCATTCATAGTGCTAGGGTGTAATACATTTTTATCCACTGCAGGGGAAAAGACCTTGATAGTCATACCCAGTACTGAACACTGAGTGCTACAACACTGACCATGCCAGACAAGATGTGCCCATTGGTGCAATGGTGGCATGGTGCTATAGGTGTAACCACAGCTTTCTGGTTGGATCTGAGGCTTGTTCCACAGAAGGGAATTCATGCCTAAGACTGTAAACCCAGTCAAACTCCTATGGCAGGGCTACAGAGATGGTCAGCGGTTAAGAACACTTGTTTTTTTTTTAAGATTTATTTATTTTATTTATGAGTACACTGTAGCTATCTTCAGACACACCAGAAGAGGGCATCGAATCTCATTATGGATGGTTCTGAGCCACCATGTGGTTGCTGGGATTTGAACTCAGGACCTCTGGAAGAGCAGCCAGTGCTCTTAACCACTGAGCCAGCCATCTCTCCAGCCCCAGAACACTTGTTTTTGAAGAGGACCTAGGTTTGATTCCTAGCACCCACATGACAACATACAACCATGCAATTCTGGGGGATGTTATGACCTTTCAGACCTGCTTGGGTATCATATATGTTTGTGGTACACAGCCATACATGCAAGCAAAACACTAATATACATAAAATAAAAAATAAATCTAAAACTTTTTTTCTAGAGCGTATGACTAGGAAGATTATGACTGTAGTAGGAACTCTACTACAGTTGTTTTGGTGAATGCTCATGTTGTCAAACTGCCTTCTACATGTTGATACCTTAGAATAGTGTAACTATCTTCTACATGTTTATACCTATAGAATAGTGTAACTATCTTAGGGTTTTGTTGCTGTGAAGAGACACCAGGACCACAGCAACTCTTATAAAGGAAAAGATTTAATTGGGGTTGGCTTACAGTTCAGAGGTTTAATCCATTTTTTTCACGGTGGAAAGCATGGCAGCATGCAGGCAGATATGGTGCTGGAGAGGTAGCTGAGAGTTCTCCATCTGGATTGTCAGGCAGCAGGAAGAGAGAATGACACTGGACCTGGATTGAGCATCAGAAACCTCAAAGCCCACCCCCAGTGACATACTCCACCAAGGCCACACCTCCTAGTACCACTATGAGCCTATGCAGACCGTTTTCATTGAGACAACCACAACTCAACCTTGATCACAGAAGCTTTTATTGCAGTGGATGAGAGTTAATGCAGACTCCGAATTGGTCAAACAGCTGCGAATACATGGCTGTAGTGTGCTCAGCCCTAAATGCAACATCTTTATCAATCCCTGGCCAGGCTCTGAGAGCCTCATGGAAGAGGAAGGTGGAAGGAATCTAAGAGCTAAAGGAGGGGGCTCAGCACTGTGAATGCCGTCTTCTGTATATGACGCAGTTGCACTCATGAACTCGTAGCACAAGACCAAGCGAAGATGGCAGTGTCTGTATGTCTTCCTTGAGGAATCTGGTCCTGCCTGCTAGGAGGAGGGTGCTGTGTAGGCACAGAGAGGCTGATGTACCAGCTCTGAGGGCTCTGTTAGGTTCCACTGCTCTGGAACACACAGTAAAGGTCTTAGGGAGCAGTGGGGTAGTGGGATGCTCCCTGTCAGGGTCTAGCTCAGGTCACCCAGCCCATAAGCAGATAAACACAGACACGTTGTTCGTGGGGATGACTGTGGGAAGGACTTACTAGAAGACAGACTCTTCCATGTTATTCTCTGGTAGGAAATTACATTTCCCTATTTTTATCTCTTCTGTTACTCAAGGACACTCTGCATCCATGAGGCAGGCAGAGAGCACAGCTGAGCCTAAAAGACTAAGTACCCAGTTAGGAAAGAAAAGAGGAAACATACAAAGACTTTGTCAGAATTATTAAAGAAAGGGGATTCCCTTCAAACCAAGATGAGATCCTGGTTTCCACCGGGGGTACAGGTGTTTCATACATATTCCAGCTGACAGGGAGGTCCAGAAAGGAAGGGCTGCAGGGACCACCAAGACTGATGAGCCATGTCAGTTCTCAAGGGAAACCCCAGACTACCAGAAAGCCAGGAGACAGACTCACAACCGTGTTTACCATGGATAGAATGGTCCAACAAGAACCTGTGGACACAGACAGTCCTACGAGCCCCATATACCTGGACACAGTGCAGAAAGGCCAACATGGGTGTCCCACCAGGCCCTCAGAATACCAGGAGAAATATACATCCAATTAAGTTCTGGGAGTACATGTTCATTTCCTGTCAGTGTAAGTGTGCACATTTAGATTCTTGCTGTGACTGTGCACTTCTGGAGCCTTTGTGGTTTTCTTTCTTTTTTAAGATTTATTTTATTACATGGGTATGAACGTTTTGCCTGCATGTGTGCCTATGCACCATGTGTGTGCCTGATGCTCATAGAGGTCAGAAAAAGACACTGAATCAATCCCCTGGAGTTATGGCTTGTTCAGCCATCATGTGAGTGCTGGGAATCGAACTCAGTTCCTTTGCAAGACTGACAAGTGCTCCTAACTGCTGAGTCAGCTCTTTAACCCTTGTAGTTCTTCTAATGTAGATCCTTTCCTCTGAATCTCTTGAGATTGTTTGTGCTTTCTTGCCTAATTGTCATTTGTTGTCATCATCGTTGTTACCCTGTGACCATGGAGAGGCCCACAAGGATGGCAGGTGCCAGCTGAGGTGTTCTCACTGTGGCTTCCCCTGGCCTGCTGCTCTTCTGGCTGCAGCTGCTGAGACAGGACTGTCCAGATGCCCACCCAACTCTTCTGTGTCTCACTGTCCTATAGTTCCTGTCAGCCTCAGAGAAAGGAGGCTTTTCCCCTCCAGCTAGCCAAGTTCCCGGATCCCCAGGTTTGGCTGAGTCATGTCTCTGGATACCTTGCAATAGCAAGAACATTCCTGTGACAATTCTTAGTTAGCCAAGTCTCTGTGCCTTCTCCCTTCTTCTAGCCTGTGGTTCTTCCTCCCATTTTCGGTCCCAAGCAGCCCTGTCCCTGCTCAGTTTACAGTAGGGCAGTCTGGAAACAGAAACTAACACTGGGCTGCTGTGCTAAGCCTGGTTGTCTCCCTTGTGACATGGGGAAGATAACACCTCTTACTATTAATGTGAAGATTGTAAGGGATACGATTGTAAGCTCATACGATGTGTTACCTGGTACAGGGGAGGGTAGGTGAGGTCTGGGGCAAGGGGCTGAGTTGAAGAGGACCACTGAGTGCCACACCACTTCAGAGAGCCTCTGCTGACAACAGCAGGGTCTCTCTTTGGGTTTGGGACTGAAGCTCTGTGGGAATTCTCCCTCTGGCATTACAGATGCTACAGAACACAGGTACCTCTGTTTACTAAACACCTACTATATGCCAGGCATCATATCAAACAACCATTTCTCTTCCCAGGCTCTGAGGAAGAACTGTTCCATTCTACAGATGAGGGACTGTCTAGCAGGAACTTGGCACTTCCTTGAGTTTTTGACGCTTCAGAAACAGAGGCCAGAATCAGAACCAAGGTTCGTGCAACTCTGGGGACTGTCTTCCCTGTGCAATCCCCTTTCTCCCTCTTTGAGGAGAAGGCCCAACGCTAGGAATCTAAAAGTCCACTTCTCTGATGCAGTAAAGGCTGAAGTGAGGGAGCTGGAACAGGGAGGAACCGTGCATCAGTCAGGAAACCTCAGAGAGCCCTTACTGAGAGCAGCCAGGTCACGCTGTTCAGTGAGCTCTGAGGCCTGAGTGAAGCTTTGTGCTGAAGCTCTTCCTTTAACTTCTTAAAACTGATCAGACATTCAGACACTCAGACATCCAGACACTCACATGGGATGAAGGGTGTTTGTTTGTTTGTTTGTTTGTTTCCTTGCTTGTTTAGGGAGCTTGAAGGGGACAGAGAGTGTTCTCTCCCTTTTTTAAAGATTTATTTATTTATTTATTTATTTATTTATTTATTTTATTTAATGTGAGTACATTGCTGTCTTTAAACACAACAGAAGAGGGCATCAGATCCTATTACAGATGGTTGTGAGCCACCATGTGGTTGCTGGGAATTGAACTCAGGACCTCTGGAAGAGCAGTCAGTGCTCTTAACCGCTGAGCCATCTCTCCAGCCCAGGGTGTTTTCTTTTTTATTGAAGTTTTTGGAGACAGATTTTTCAGTGTGTGGCTCAAGCTGGCCTTCAACACATTATCCTCCTACCCAGCCTGAGTGCTGGATTTATAGGTTTACACAACAGTTTCAAATGATATAAATTCTAAAAGGTACAAAATGATATGTAAGGGAAGGGGGTCTCCTACCTATGATCCATGCTCTCTCCCTCACCTTCCTGTCAGGAAGATAACCTTTACTAGAGTTTTAGCTACAAAAGGGAGTCCATGCATTTACAACGAGAGGTGAGTCTCTTTCCCCTTCTCTCCCTCCCTCCCTGACTGCTCATTTGTGCGTGGGGTGGGGTGGGAGGGAGTAAATGTGTATAGACTCTAAAAATCAACCTAGATGTCTTTCCTCAGGTACTGTTCATCAGCCCGGAGCTTGCCGACTAGGCCAGGCTGAGTGGTCAGTAAGCCCTAGGAATCTATCCATGTTTGGCTCCCCAACACATGCACAAACACATGCCATCACACACAGTTCTGGGACCTGAGCTCAAGACCTCAGATCTACATGGCAGGTGCTTTGCCACTGAGCCATCTTCCCCTCTACGGATGTATAAGGAATCTGTCATACCACCATAGGTGAGTGCCAGAACTATTACATCAGTCCTTCATGATAGGCAATTAAATTCCCTCCACTCTTCCTTAACACGAACCATGTTATCTTATAAAAAAGTAAGTTGTAGACGTGTGAATACAACAAGACAAATCCCCACAAGTAGGATTCCTAGCACTTATCAATACAACATGCTCTTTCTAAATTTTTAGCAGATAGTACCAAATTCCACAGACGTTGTAGCACAGTACAGCTCACCACCAATGAATACAGCCAAGGGAATGCTTTTCCTATGGGGGGAGGAGACTGTTAGTTGGATGAGATTAGCTTTGCAGGGCCATGCAGGCTTGCCCTTAGTCCAGAAAATTTCTCTGATAGGTGGCTCTCTCTCTTTCCCTCTCTCCCTTCCTTCCCATACTGTGTGCATGTGATGAGCCAGAGCCATCAATAGTCTGATCTCAACAATCTAGCTGCCCATTTCACAGATGCAAGAACTGGAGTTCAGAGAGGTAAGCTACCTTACTCAAGGTCCTGGCCTGGAATCCTGCAAGTCCAAGGTTAATTCTATAGAATCTATGTTTCCCCTCCTGACCTCAAACAGTGTCCTCCATACTGTCCTGAGACAGACTGCTGTGGGGAGGAGCTGCTCTAGCTGCCTTTGCTGCAGAGCAAGATCACTGATGTGTGAGCAGGTGGTATCTTGTCAGAAAGTTAACCATAACAAGCCCTAGCTGCGAAGCGTGAATGTCATTTGCGGATCGGTGGTGATACTGAGCCATTTCAGACGTAGGACAAGGCTGTGGTTAACCATTCATTGTGATAGGATCCAGTTACAGTTATTCCTAGACACTGTAACACTACCTAACTGCCCTTGTAGAACCCCCTCAACCCCCAACCCCATCCCCACCATCATAAAAGCAGCCAGGCATAGAGATGGATGAGAATGTTTTAATCCCAACACTCAGGAAGCAGAGACAGATGGATCTCTGTGAGTTTGAGACTAGCCTTGTTTAGAGAACAAGTCCCAGGGCAGCCAGGACAACACTATGAGACTGAAATTTTTAATTAAAATAAAAATAGTCCCTTGGAATTCCTCTGTGCCAGTAGCTCTGCCTGGTGTATTGCACTGTGTCTAACAAACTCTACTTCTGCCTCCTCCTGTCTTGGTGAATTCATTCACAGCTACGTCATTGCAGACCTGTCAGTGTCAGCACCTGTGTTGACTTGGCTACAGCTTGAAGAACCCAGCTCCTTCCTAATATGAGTTGAAACACTTGGAGACTCCCACAAGGTTCAGAGTTCAAACCACTGAGAACATTCTAGTTCACGAGAAACCAAACGCAGCCCCACGCTACATCCTCAAAGCTGCCATTCCCTGCCCACTGGAGGCCCCGGGAGCCCCGCTCATTCACTTTTCTGAGGTGGATAGTACTGTACTACCTACCAAAGGATCAGGAATCCTTCACAAATCCTCTCCAGTGTCACTGGTGGGTGTTGGGAAAAGTCAGCAACTCAGGCTGCTCGAGGGATGCAGGTAACTATGACGACTCAAGTTCTCCTTTTGTCACTTGGAAAGTGACTCCACGTTAACTCGTTTCACCTCTGCAGCAGTACCATAAGGCAGGCAAGGAAGAGATTCTGAGGTTCTTTCTTCCCATTTTCTGGATAAGGAAAGTAAGGTAACCTTTGTCCACTGTGTGCCAAATGTTAGCTTCATTCTTTGCTTCCCTATGGTAAGCAACCTTCTGGTGGTATGAAATGTTCATTCATCTCTGAAAGAAGTGGCTTTGTCTCTAGCAGTGTGCATTTTAGACAGCCCTCCAAGGGCACAGATACATGTATATACATTTCTTTCCCTGTATCCTCATCATTTAGCTCTGTTGATGAATCCTTTATGAGGAGATTCTTAGATCTTCCTCACTGGAGACCTAGGGGTAGTGTTACCCCCTAGGCAAGTTGTCCTGAGTTGTCTAAGAAAAATCAAATCAAATGAAACCTGAAGAAGCCATGTGGAGAGCAGGCCAGTATGAAGCATCCTCCATGATCTTGGTTTTGGTTCCTGTCCTAAATTCCCTTTATGATAGATTGTAAGATGTAAGATGAAATAAACTATCTCCTACCCAACTCATTCCAGTTGTGGTGTCTATCACAGCAACAGAAAGTAACTTACTATATCTCAGTGCTTAGCTTGTGCTTTAGAGCATGACGGGCACTCACTGAAGACATACTGTTTGCCAGAGGAAACAGATGAATAGACGGATGTAAGTGGATGGCTACAAGGTGGTGAGTGGATGTGGCATTGGTTAGTTTATCTGTTTTGTTTTTCTACACAGCACCCATGCTGCCGTCTCAGTGTCACCCTGACACCCTTTCCTAGAATCATCCCTCCTCCCAGGGCATTTGTTCTCAGTGGTCCTTCATATCAGATGCCTTCTCCCCACAAGCAAATGACAAAATTAGTAGGTCATACCTCCTTGCCTAAACTTGGAAGTCCTTTGTGTTACAAGAACAGAGTGTATCCAGCTAAACAATGGCACCCTGACACCTGCCCCTGTGCTAAGCCAGCTTCTCTTATGTTCTGACCTTTCTGAGAGCCACTATGCATCACTCCCAATACATCATATGCTGAGTCAACAAATGTGCTTTATCCATTTATGAACAACGCATGTTAGCAGACAGGAGATGTGGAGATGGGCAGCTGGAGGATGGACAGGCAGAGTCTGGGAAGAGCCGAGTGACCGGGTGGAACAGTGGGTAAATGGAGGAACACAGAACTGCCGAGGAAGGAGCTCACGAGCCAAGTGGTAGAGTGAGTCCTGGGCCCCAGAAAGATGAAAGGGAAGAAAGACCCTTTAGGCCTTACCCACAGGAGGAATGCTATGAGCTGAGGTTAGGGGGCGATGAGCTTCCAGTTCCAAACCCCTTCAATGTACTAAAAATCACCTACTATTTTACCTTTTAAATGAGAAGGAAGGGGCCTCAAGGCAGTACTGTTACACCTCTACTTCCTTGTTGAAGGAACCGAGACTCACAAGAGGTTTGCCAGAATCTCACAGCTTCTCACAGTTAGGTTTAGCACCGCACTGGACTAGAGTCTATGCTACATCCGGGTCCCTTCCTCTCTTCACATCCAAAAGCAGACTTTAAGAAGAATGACTGAAGCGCAAAACTTCCAAACGCCAACCTAACAAAATTCCCCAGGGGGACTTCCCTACCCACTCTGGCATTCCTAACACTACAGACAGACGTAGGGAGGTTCTGAGGGTAGAAGGCTCTGCAGGCTTTGCTGAGGAGTGGGCAGTGGAGGAAGGGGAGGCAGCATAGAAAACAAGGGATTGAAGGCCTCCGTCTCTGAGACTGGAAGAAAGTAGTAAGGAACCAAGGGACTTTCTGGGGCCAGATCAAAAGAGAGACAGAATCCAGAGATTTTTGTCACTTCCTTTTTAAGCCTGTCTGTGCACTGTCCTGTGGAGGTGCCAGAAAGGAAGAAGAGTAGTTGGCAGAGTCCTCAGGGCTAGTTTGAGTCAGAATTGGTCTCTTCCTAGGTAGAATGATCTCTCAAGGGTCTGACACTAGGGGCTGATGGAATATCACTGCCCACTTTGCCACTTCTCACTCTGCACCTCCAAAGGTAAATTCCTTACTGGGAAGGAGAGAACAGTAAGAAAATACATGCTGGAGCTTGGACGTTTGGGAGCTGGTTTCTAAGTATCTACTTAGAGCCAGAAATAGGCCATTTTCTGATTGCCTCCATTTGGTCATCCTGGGTGTCCTAGAACTGGGTGTTCCCAGCCCAGTTTCCAAGACAGAAACCAGGGAATAGATTTAACAATCTGTCCAAAGGCACAGAGACAGCAAGTGCTAACTGATTTCAGATTCAGGTCTTCCTTGCTCCATCAGACTTCCTTCTGGAAGGGGAAGGAGTGCAGAACTGAGGAGTTATACTCTGGCAATAACCTTTCCTAGAGAATAAAGGATAAAGAATTTCATGAGGGATATGAAATGAAACAACAAGCAAAACAAAAAGAAATAAAAGCAACAAAGAATCCAACGTGAAGAAGAAAACAAAAATACATTCCTCTCACAGAAGAGGGGGCCTAAAATTATCTGTCAACAAACACAGCTACACAGCTCATGTGCTTCCCCTAGGCCTTGCACTCACTACCACCTTGTGGGGGCTCCCCGTGACCCAAGCACAGGTTCCCATCACAAACACACCACATGTGGTCTCCAGCTGCAGAAAGCAAGAGGGTGGGTGTGCTGAGCCACTGTCCTGTGTGGTGAAGGTGAGAAGAGCTGACGGAGGCCAGCTACAAGCCTCTGGTCTGAATGTGGTTGTGAACTATTATGAGAGCAGGTATCAGAGACATGGGTGATGACTGTAATGCTGTCACCGCTGGAACACCTTGTCCAACAGGGCCCTCTGCGAGCAGATGGTGTGAGCCAGTTACTTGCTGTCCTAGATGTAAGAAAGGGGAAAGGGATCCAATCAAGAAGCATATACCAATTTGCATATGGAGAAAGCTAAAGCCATGGAAGGAAATGGCTTTTCTGCTGGCTTTTCCTGGGAGCCCAGATACCTAGAGACTATGGATTTTCCCTACTTCAGACACTATGATAGGAGTGGCCAAGAGAGAAAGCTGACTCACACAGTCATGGGGAAATCCCACGTCTGACTAAAGCACTGGAATCCATTCGAAATGGGGTTTCAGTTTCTTTGGCTGCAACTGGCTTCACAACGTCAGACTGACTGGGCTGAGAGCCAGCTCAGCTTAGGAAAAGAGTCAATGAAAGAAGGAAAAGAAAACAGAAGACTAAGCCAGGACAAGACAGGGTAGCATGTGGCTGAAAGGATGTGAGCGTATCTGAGAGGCTTGCGTGAACACGCAACACAGGGCTGGCAAGGACTCAGAAGCACACCAAAGCTGCCAGGTTTGTGACCTCCCTATACACAAAAGGACAAGTGTGCTGGTCAGCTCTCTAAAAACTAGTCAGAAGATTTCACAGCTTCGCCATCTCTTCAATGGCTGGATTAACCAACTCAGAGTCTGTGCAGTTTCTCCATCTACAGAGGAAGTGACTTAGGACCGAAGGAAATAAGCAAGTTGCCTGAAATCACTAATCAGCAGTAGAAGCAGACCTGGGAGAAACGACACCGCATGGCCTCGTGAACGCATGCAGTCTTAAGAAGCAAGGGGTAGATCAGCCATTGTGAGGGGCAGCGAAGTGGGGGCACGGAGAAAGATGGTGACCAAAGGGTACACAAGGCTGAAGCAATCCAGGATGAACAAACAAGTCTGCAGATCTAAAACAGCATGGGGACTGCGGTTAGTCACACCGTGCCTGGCACCGGAAATTTGCTGAGAGATTTCAGATGCTCTCAGACCACATAAATATAAAGTGAAGGCTATGTGTGAAGATAAGTGTGTTCATCTGTCTGCTGGAGATATTTCAGAATTTCACCATACACCATAAATATACAATGTTTTATTTTAAAAATAAATAGAAAATAAATAATAGATCCAGCTTTTCAACTCCAGGGAGCCCAGGTACCTAGTCAATATGCCATAAGAAATGATTAAGACTAACTCACTGTTGGTTCAGTATCTATCCTACCCAAAACATATGCTGAAAAGCAAGGAAGAAGCCAGAAGACAAGCAGAAGACAAACAGGATAAGATACTAAGAAACCGCACAGATTCTGGGTGGGTTAATCTGGCCATTGAGGATATGATGAGAGCTGTGACATTTTTTGACTAGTTTTTAGAGAACTGAACAGATACACTTGTCATTTGTGCTCAGGGCTGGAGAGATGGCTAAGAGCACTGCTGCTCTTACAGGGGACCCAGGTTTGATTCCTAGCACCCACACTGGGCAGCTCACACCTGATAGTAACTCCATTTCCAGGAGATCCAACACCCTCTTCCAGCCTCCAAGAGTACTGAACACACATGGTACACTTACTGACAAGCAGGTGTACACACACACACACACACACACACACGCATGCATGCATGCACACGCACACACATGCACATAAATGAAAAAAATAAATAAATAAATTTGTAAAAGATACTATGCTCACAGAGTTGAGAGACAAGACTGCAATGCCAGCACCACAGAGAATGAGGAAGTAAGTTTGAGGTTGGGTTACAGTGTGAGCCTGTCTCAACAGAAAAGACAAGAGACAAGGTCAGTAGAAGATGGCTGACAATTAAGGAGTACTTATTTACTTGTGCTTTGTGCATCTACCTTCTCCTACTCCATCCCAGAGCCTTCAAAGAGTTGCTATATTTCTCTAGAAACAATGAAGGATGGTAGAAAGTGGTCACTTATTCAGTGAGGTCTACCATTGCAAGTTACGGTCATAAGCTATGCACTTCACCTCTCTATACTTGAACCAACCTCCTAAAAGACTCAAACTCAGAATCCTCCTGCCTCAGCCTTCAAGGTGGATGTGGTAGTATACATTTGTAAATGTACAAGGTGGATGTGATAGTATACATTGGTAAATCCCAGTATTCAGGGGCACAGGCAAGAGTATTGCTGCAAGTTCTAGCCCAGCTTAGTCCATATAAAAAGTTAAGTCTAGCCATGGTTACATAGAAAGAACCTGTATGTCTCAAAAGGAAAACTGAAAGAAAAAAAACACCAGTGTTTCCAGTATGGGGTTGTTCTTTCCAATATTCAGTTTTGTCTAAATGCTGATCTCTTGTTCACAAACCAATTTCAGTCCCCATCCCCTGGCTAAAGTGTCACTAATTCTCAACTGAAGATGCATCCCATCCTTTGGAGTGGAGTGAACCCCCCCCATATCCTACCCTTTAATATCCAGGTATACTAAATAGACAGTGGACCAAAATGAGACACAGGACAGCTGGCTTCTGGTCCTAATTCTTTCATTCATCTGCAATGTGCTCTTAGCAAGTTACTCCTATCTGGGCCTCAGTTTCTCCCTCTGCAGCAGAGGGAGAATAATCCACTCTTGTGTCTAATAGAAAAAAAATTAGGGGGAAAAAAAAACAGGAAAAATTCTCCAATGTCCCTCACAGTTTCTGTCTTCCATGGGCTCTGTGCATAAGAGATGAGTTGGTGGGTAAATGGGATGACGTCATGGTCATGATGAAAACAAGAAGCGCTCCCTAGAGGAATCAACCCAACTCATATTTTCTGGAAAAGCCTCCAGTGTCCAACTGAGACGCACTATCCTAGTCAGAACCTATGTTTGTAAAGGATCCCCCCTTAGTAAATCCTCTCGTAAGTAACACTTGAGATCAGACTGTGCCCCATTCTAACTTGGTGTTGTGTAAAACAGTAGTTTTACAAGCTGTGCCTTTCCCTGAGAGTCTCCGTTTTACAAGAAGTTTTTGACTACATTCTGAATGCAAACAGAGATGGGATGACTCTGTACCTTGGTGGGCACATCTGTCTGGCACCACTCATAGACACAGATGGTAAATAATTTATACCTAAACATATAAAAGGATGACACCCCATAAGTTTATTTAAAAAAAAACCCTTGGGACCATATAAGCACATAAGCATGTTAAAGTCATTTAAAAACAGGCCCAAGAACTTACTGAACACATCAACACTCTCATCTGGACCCCATAAAGAGAACAGCTAACATCAGCCTGTCATCTGGCCACATGGTGTGTGTATGTGTCACAGGACTGATAGGCAGAGAATTGCAGACTGTCCCAGGAGCTAGAACTCAGCTCCATTCCCACTGTGGCATGTCTGTTGGAACTACAATCCACTGGCCCATCCACCTGGACCTGCCATTCGTTTGCTTTCCCATTGTCCATCTTGACCCAGGCCTCCCGTTCACCTCCACAGCATCCATGTTCTTACATTTTTGCTCCTATGCTGGGACTAGACTCTGAGGTTCAGCTCTGACCTGTGGTCCTGAAGCTTGACTCTGCAGTAGGCACCTCCAGTAAGAATAAGGTGGAGAATGATAGAATACTAGATATTCTTCTGTGGCCTCCATTCACACACACACACACACATACATACACACACACACACACACACACACACATCAGTTTTTAAAAATCTTTATTCCTACAGAGACTCTTTGTAGCCCTATCAGCTCCGTCAGCTCCTAGACAGACAGACAGACAGACAATAAATAGATATTATGGATAGATAATAGATGGACATATGGACATACAGGACACAGGGTTTTTTTGTTCCTACCTTAGTTACTAATGCTAACTCTCAAATCACACATCACACATTCAGTATCTCTAAGTCTACCTAGATATCTGGGGATAAGGATTACCTGGCTTTCAACAACTCCCCTATACCTTGTTAACTTATTATTATCAATGACACAGGTGTGTTCTATGTTTCTGATATAGTGTGCTCATAACGTAGTGTCCCATGGAGAAAACAGAAGAACAAAATCAAGTCTGGGCTACAACTTGGGAAGTTGCCAAGTGAAGATCAATGGCTTGATCTTAACTGACCCCTACTTGCCTTAAGGCAGCAGCCCCCTGCTACCTGGGGAGGGCCTGCTTGGGATGGCAGATCTGAGGATGAAGGGAAGGAAGAGGTTTTCCCCCTACTGCGTTTGGCCAGAGAGGGAGCCGAAGATAAGTCATCGTGGGCTGGAGGGCAGTTAGAGGCAGAGTCATACTTCCAAAGGTGATTTCAGTTTTCTTTTCCATTTTGTGTTTTCATTTTTGACAGAAGCTGGTGTTTGGTATCTTTTGTGGAAACTCCCCCAGTCCTGGGGGGGGCACTTCCTCTGCTGCCCTGGCTCCCTATAAAAGGTCTGTCTGAGCTACAGAGCACCTCTGCAGAGGATCCTGAGACAACACATACATCTCCTGCAGCCTCTGTCTCGGGTACCATGAAGCTCTCCGAAGCTGCCCTCACCATCATCCTCACTGCTGCCGCCCTCTGCACCCCTGCACCTGCCTCCCCATGTAAGTCCAGAGTTCTGACCACCACAGCCCCCACTGTGACTCGATGCCACCCCAACCTGCCCCCCCCAACCTTCCCTTCTTTCCAATCCTACTGTGTATGCTGCCTGTACATTCTTATGTATCCTTGACACAGTTACCCTGCTGTCACTGTCAGATGCCTTATGTATTATGGCAGGACCCTCTGGAGAACTTTTCTGTGTCTTCTAAGGCTATATTATGAACTCTGCAGGCGTTCCTTAGGGGCAAGCTGGTGCCGGGCATGTCAGAAGGCTGACCTTTGAAAGATGACTTACTCATATCTGTCACCAGCATGGTTTCTAAGAAATGTGTAATACTGTTTTAGCTGTGATAGACTCTCATTTCATATCGAGAAAAGAAATGGGGTTTGCAAGAAAGAAAGAAAGAAAGAAAGGAAGGAAGGAAGGAAGGAAGGAAGGAAGAAAGAAAGGAAGGAAGGAAGGAAGGAAGGAAGGAAGGAAGGAAGGAAGGAAG